GTGAGTGACCGTTTGAAGGGCATCCTGATCCAGGAAAGGGCGTAACTGGTGCACAACCCGAAGCTGTGCAAAGGCGCTCCTGGCCGCGGCTGCCACCTGCTCTTCGAGCAGGAGCCGTGAGTCCAGGAGGACCCCCACATTACGCACTGGGTCTGTCTGGGGCAGTGCTACCCCATCCAGCACCAACAATGACAACGTCCCTGGTACAGAGGAGCCATTAACCCACAGCCACTCCGTCTTGCCAGGGTTCAGCTGGAGCCTGTTGTTTCCTGGGCAGCAATTGTAAAAAGGTATATTATGGGTCTTTTTCAGAATGAAGAAATTGTGAAGATTCAAGCATTCCTTAAAGCAAACAAAGCTAGGGAAGATTACAGAATATTGAGTAAGTGCTAAGTAATATTTTCTGAATATATATTATATAAAGGAATTAGATGCTGTACATGTAACATGTGGGGATGCGGTGGTGCAGCGGCTTAATGATGCTGGAAGTTGCCAGCCAGAAATGGTTGACACTTCAGAGGTTCGAGCTGAGCTCCGTGTGGCAAAGTGAGCTCCTGTCTCATCCCCAGCTTCTGCCAGCCCAGCAGCTCGAAAGCACCCACAAGTAGATAAATGAGTACTCTCACCCCGATGGGAGGAAAAACACTGGCGGCGCCTTACACGGGAGACGGGACCAGTTGCCGGTAATGCGGAAGTCACATACGTCTGAAAAAGACGCAAAGCAACGGAAACCCCGCCTTCCTGCGTCTGCCAGCTGGGCTCCGCTCTAGGAAGGAGGCAATGGCAAACCACTTCCGAAACGCCTTGCCATGAAAACTGCAGGGACTCGTCCAGGCAGTCGCCGCAGAATCGGTCACGATTGAGTGCGGATTTAAAAAAAAAAACATACAACAGGCATGTTCCCAGCTCTTCCTCTCCTTTTCACCTAAGACAGGTGAGGTAGTTGGTGTCCTGAACCAGTACATGGGCAGGATAATGGACTGCATGAGGGCCAATAAATTTTCAGTTCAGACAGGATGGAGGTACTGCTTGTGGGTGGTTTATCTCTCCAGCTGAATGGTGCCTTGCCTGTCCTGGAGGGGTCTGCACTTGCCCTAAAGAAGCAGGTTCGCAATTTGGCAGTGCTCCTAGATCCATCACTGTCACTAGAGGCTCAGGTGGCCTCTGTGGCATGGAGTACTTTTTATTCTTCGGCTGATTTCCCAACTGCGGCCCTATTTGAACAGAGACACCCTTGCAACAGTTATTCATACTCATTCAGAACACTGTTTTTGACCTTTAAAGCCCTGAATGGCTTAAGGATCAAGTTACCTGAAGGAATACTTTCTTTCATATGTAACTACCTGGACTTTAAGATTATCTAATGAGGCCCTCCTTCAGGTCCCCTCACCAAAGGAGGTGAGGTGGACCTCTACAATGGGGAGAGCTTTTTCTGTGGTGTCATCACCCTATTTATGAAATTCCCTCCCCAGAGAGGCTTGACTATGCCCACATTAGTATAATTTTGGTTCCAGGAGAAGACTTGTATTTTTCCCAGGCTTTTAAATTGTATTTTAATTCATATTGGTTTAGTTTTTGAATGACCACTGTGCTGCTGTCTAGTTTATATGGTATTTTATTTTGTATTTTATTTAATTTTGTTGTATATCTGTTTACTCAGATTATAGATTCTTAGTATGCTTTATTGTAAACTGCCCAGAGAGCTTCAGCTATTTGGCAGTTTAAATTTTTAAAATAATAAATAAAATTGTGAATATTTTAAATAAAGATGTTTCTACTGTCAGGTGCAGTTTTGTTTGGAACTGAGTGCTGTAATGTTTAATTTGTTTACTTGATTTATAGCTAGTTCTGCAAATCCTCCTTTGAATGTCTTGCGCAAATTTACTTATCTCATGGATCAGAGTGATTTAGATTTTCAAGAAGAGCTGGAAGTTACAAGGCTAAGGGAAGAGGTGGTCACAAATATCCGATCTAGTCAACAGCTGGAAAAAGATCTGAACTTAATGGATATTAAAATAGGATTGCTGGTTAAAAACAGAATAACACTGCAGGTTAGTGAACTTAATGTTTTCACAATTTTAATAATTGGAACCAGGTTTCCTTTTTCCTCCTCTTTTTACTACCTGTTTTTATTTGGCCTTTAGTCTGTAAGCTTGTGTGTTACTGATTTCATGCAAGCTCTTCCTCTCTGATTAAATATTAAAGTAAAAACGCTCTGAAACAATACAATCAGGAAATGCTTATTAATATTTGTTAATATTTTCTTGACAAGGATAGTTGTGAGATCTCTATCTTCCAGAGAATTCTTGAAATGAATACATCTGTAAGTAAGTGAGACTGTAAACATTTCCTCCTCTGCTTTTGGTTCTTCTTTATTAAAAGTTGCAGTAGTAGTAAGTAAATTTATTGTTGTAACCACAGGTCATAACATATAATGTGCCATAAAATACAATTAAATAACAGTAAAATAGTAAGATTGTAAAATAAAGTAATAAAAAGTGTATTAGATATAAAAAGGTTATAGCAAAATAAATCCAAAGCTACAACTAAGAACTGAAGTATTTCTAAGTTTAAATGACAGAGAAGCAAAAGTAGCAACTTGGTTGCTGACAGTTGGAAACACATCTGCCAGAAGATAGTTCAATTTTTGGAGGTCTGAGTCCTTGAGTTCACCTACCATCAATAATTTGGCCCAGATCTCATTGTAAATGGGGCGTTGGAGGACATAATGGATAATATCCTCCACTTGAACAACATCACAAGGACAGAGACGTTGTTCGACAGGGAGCTAAAAGTGCAATGTCTGGAGTAGTTATTACATACATTAAAACCTCATTGTATGGGCCTATTAGTGGACTTTAGATGCAACAGACAAAACTTCAGTTTGGACTTTAACTCCAAATAGTCAGTTTTAACTCCGCAAAGTCATTTTCTGAAACAGTCCAGATAATTGACATAATTCTGTTAGTTGTTTCAATTACATCATTAGTATAATGGAAGCGATATAAATTGACACAGTTGACATAATTTCTTAAATTACATACCTAACCAATTACATAAGTAATGCAAATTATGTAAATTACATCCATTTACATCCATTTGAATTTAATAGACATTCAGCTTTAACAGACATCAGCACTAATCTGCCTGAGAATACCTCTCTTGGTTCCTGCCAGATTTGCTGCCATGACTTTTTAAATTTTTAACAATTTTTTCTAATTGAAAAAAAGGAGTGGATGGAAGCTGGCATGCTGCTAAGTAGAATCTTCCACTATCCATGCTGATTCACAAGAATGTCACTTGGCCTCAGATGGGTCCTGTAAGTTTTCTTAGAAAATAAAAATAAGGGCACTAAAACCAGAAGTTAATTGAAAAATACTGTATACTAACCTGTCAGGAAAAAAAAAGGTAAAGCAGTGATGAGGGAGTATGGCATTCTGTTAAATTGATGCTTTGTACCCTCTTACACATAGCAGTGTTCTTAAGCACCTACAAGATATCTCAAAATTACAGATGGGCCCACCAGGCTTCAAGTTTAGAAACCCCAGTCTTACATTGTCTCTTCCTCTCCTCCATTGCCAGACCTTATTCAAACTGTCTCTCATAAGACATTACACTTCTGTTGCTGGAGCTTGTAGCTTGGCTCTAAGCATTGAATCTCTTCCTTTTCAGGGGTTGTTACATTTTTGTCATAGTGGTTTTACTTTTGTCATTGATGAGGACTCAGAGCCGTACTATGAACTTCTCTCAAAATGCTATATTGAAATGAATTTATTTGACTGTAACAAAAACTTTCATTTGTATCAGATAACAGATTTGAAATGTTGGCTTGGCTTTCATTTTTTAGGATGTTGTGTCCCATAGCAAGAAGCTGAACAAAAAAAGCAAAAACCAGCTGGAAGAGATGGTAACTGGGGAAAAGCAAGGCATCAAAGGCTTAAGCAAAGAGAGGAGGAAAAAACTGGAAGCCTACCAGCACTTGTTTTACCTTCTTCAGGTGAGTTATCAGTAACTGAGGATTTATAATGTAGAGGATTATAAATGTCCCTTTTTATTGGCTCTGGCAGTAGCAGTTTTTGAAACCTCATTATAATGTAATTGAGACAGAAGCCAGCTCCTCAGTCCCCTTCACACAGACACTTGGAATGCAAATCACACGTTAATAGAGCTGAACACTACAACATGTTTCATCTCTATTTTCTTGTGCTAAAGGCTGCTCATTCTTGCACTTTTCAAATACACATGCACTTGGAGTGTCTACAGGATCTTGCTGCTTTTATCTCAATGTGTCACAAACGCTACCCTTTTTGTATGTGCACATAATGATTCATCATTCAGAAAAGGTGGGGCTTATACCACAGTGCTCATTTTTCAGGCTATTTCCCCCAACTACTGTATATACATGCACTTACACTCAATTATGTATAGAGAGATTTTGTGTATATGTGCAATGGGGTTTTGAGTTGGGGTTTGTGTATATGTGCAGTGGGGTCCAGAGTTCCCTTTTACTTGCAGCTTTTAGAATCAGTCCAGAATTGGGAAGCTCATTATATGACCTATTCTAAACATATTTATTGAATACCTCAAGCATGGGGATGGCTAGCCCCATAGAGGCCCCGGCCTTCAGCCTCAGGTATTCATCCCCTTGATCTCTCCTTCTTCTTTTTAGTTATGTTTTAATTGATGGTTTTATGTGTTTATATATTTATGTTCTAATGTTTATTGTGAATCGCTCAGAGTTCCCCCATTGGGGGGAGATGGGCGGTTGAAAAATTTAATAAATAAATAAAATAAATAAATATTGCTGTAGCTACATTCTCTTTTCCTAATAGAGAACAGAGTGTGCTAAATCTGGATCATGTACATAACCTCAGGCTCCATAGCTATTTGCAACCCCTTAAAGTTTTGAATATATCCCTTTTATAAATTTGACTGATGAGGGAATTACCCTATTTTTCCAACAATAAGACGCCCCCATGTACAAGACGACCCCCACTTTTCCAACCCAAAATTAAAAAATCAATATTTTAAAGATAGTGCAAAACACATTTTTATTTAGTAATTAGTTAACATTTACCTGATAT